TCAGAACTACGGCTTGCCCAAGGTCATCTAGCAGCTGCAAGGGGAGGAGTGGGGAATCAAGCCCGGTTCTCCCAGATTAGAGTCCGCGCACTTAACCACTACACCAAACTGGCTCTCACCTGCTCCTGCTCCCGATAACAGTCTTTAATGTGATCTTGAACATGAACATATTATGAAACCAATGAAATCTACTCACACCACCGACCTTTCTAGCTGGCCACTGTGTACCCGGCAATTCCCCAGAACCTCAGGCAGAGAAATGCCTACTAGCTAATAAGTCTTGGGCTTTCTGCAAGCAAAACATGCCATTCACTCTCCTGAGTCACAATCCTTTCTATTTTTTCATGAGCCACGTTTTTATCTTCTTGGGGCTACATATGGGGATATACATTCCAGTTTGGTGTAGTGGTTAAGTGCGCGGACTCTAATCTGGGAGAACCAGGTTTGATTCCCCACTCCTCCACTTACACCTGCTGATGTGACCTTGGGTCAGTCACAAGCTCTGGCACAGCTGTTCCTGAAAGAGCAGTTTGTGTCAGAGCTCTCTCAGCCCCACCCACCTCACAGGGTGTCTGTTGTGGGGAGGGGAAGGGAAAGGAGCTTGTAAGCCGCTCTGAGACTCCAAGTGAAGGGCGGGGTATAAATCCAATCTCCTCCTCCTCCTCCTCCTCCTCCTCTTCTTCTTCTTCTTCTTCTTCTTCTTCTTCTTCTTCTTCTTCTTCTTCTTCTTCTTCTTCTTCTTCTTCTTCTTCTTCTTCTATCAAACAGCAAAAACAAAAGAACAGTGCAGTGTTCTGAAATTGTATGCTAGAGATTGGAGCGCGATCTTGGTCTGCAAACAGATCAGGGCTGCCTCCCCCCCCCCCCCCCCCCAAAAGAAAATCCCAGCTCAACTTAAAAGTTGCCAACCTCTGGGTGTGTTCTGGAGTCACTCAGAGTGGCTTGCAATCTCCTCCCCCTCCCCCTCCCCACAACAGACACCCTGTGAGGTAGGTGGAGCTAAGAGAGCTCTCTCAAGGACTGCTCTTGAGAGAACAGCTCTGAGACAACTCGTGACTGACCCCAGGTCACACCAGCAGCTGCATGTGGAGGAGTGGGAAATCAAACCCGGTTCCCCCAAGTTAGAGTCCACACTCTTAACCACTACACTAAACATCATTGCTTTGTGGCATTTACACTCACTTCTCTATCACTCATTGAAGAGATTTTTTTATTGTATAAAACCTGAAAAACGGGTCTGCACAGAGATGAGTGTGGGACAGAAGAGTTCCACAGGGAAAGTATGCTTCAGCAACAACATTTTTAGCTCTTTTAAAACTATGGGTTGGATCCTATGGATCTTATGATTCTCTTCAGCTAAAAAATCCTTCAAGGGAGAATATTCTTTTTGTCTGATGGAGTAAAGTCTTTCTTTGTTGACGGAAGGCGTGGTGGAAAGGAATAATAGGATCCAGCTTAGTGGGAGGGAGTCATCAGGTTTGATCTACTGCACGTTCCCACAGCCCAGAGGACACCTGCCTACAGAGCAAGAACTTCTCGGCATCTCCCCCCCCCCCAGCAGCCTGAAAGGTTGTTCCTAAGGGAGAGGAGTTCTCAAGGAACTGGATTTCAAGAGGCATTTCACACTGCTGTGGGTGAGAGGGAGAAGCCAAGGTCAGACGGTGAGGGTAAAAGTCCCCGTGCCTCCATAATTCAGGAGCTGGATCCAACCCAATGAAAGTGACATCTTACTGTAGAACCCATGTGGAGAGCTGAAAGGGGAACAAATTCTTCTCTCCGCTATTTTTAAATGTTTAAAACATCTCAAGCCCTAAAGCAGCCAGGCAATTCCGGACCTCTTGCCAGCATCTTCCTCCCTGCCTTTTGAGGTCCACAGAAGAGACCAGGCTCTTCTGTCTGTGCCACCATTCATCTAGGATAAATCTATGAAAGCAAGAATGTGGGTCTTGTTTGTTGTGGCATCCAGTTTAGGAAATACTGTATTCAGGGGTCATTTCGTAGAAAAGGAGGTGCAGGAGCTCATTAGCATAACTCATTAGCATAAATTATTTGCATATGCCACACCCCCTGACATCTCCGGAAGTGTGTCAGAAGGCAACACCCACCCCTCAGGCTCCACTAGACTGTTTTGGATTGCTAGCTATTGGGGGGGGGACGTGCAGATCTCTCCTGGCAGAGGAGGGAGAGCTTGTACCTGAATAAAACTTGGTCTTAAAGGTGCCACTGGACTGTTTTGGACCGGGGGGCCGGGGGGGGGCTCTGCAACTTACCTGGCTGCTTCTTGCTCTGACTGAGGGCTGCTGGGAGCAGGGGGTGGGGCTTGTTGCATGTGCCCGCCCCCTGGGCTCTTTACTGCCAGAGTTCCGCTCCTGTGCACTCCTGCAAGAAATGACAACTCACTGTACTGAGGGAGGCTCATCTGAGCCAGTTGGGTGTAGTCGTTAAGTGCACAGACTCTAATCTGGGAGAACTGGGTTTGATTCCCCACTCCTCCACTTGTAGCTGCTGGATGACCTTGGGCAAGCCATAGTTCTGTCCGAGCTGTTCTCTCAAGGCCAGTTCTGGAAAGAGCTCTCTCAGCCCCACCTACCTCACAGGGTGTCTGTTGTGAGGAGGGGAAGGGAAAGGAGTTTGTAAGCCGCTCTGAGACTCTGAGTGAAGGGTGGGGTATAAATCCAATCTCCTCCTCCTCCTCCTCCTCCTCCTCCTCTTTTTCTTCTCTCATAATAGCTTTCACCAGCCTTATGCTGCTAAATGTTTAATAACAAATGCTTGATAATTCTAGCTTTCCACTACTTTCTCTGACACAGGAGTTAACTGGATGATAATTTCTGGCTCCCTGCGAATCAAATCAACGAAGTATATTTCCTATATTAGCATAAAGAAAACTATATGCAAACTATGTGCCCCACTGCCTGAAAATGCCAGGGTCGTCCGCTTTGCCTGAATTCCATACAGTTGGAAACCACAGACTGCAATGCAACTATATCCAAATTCATAACGAAGGCTTAGATCCGCTAAAACTGGCTAAGTTGTAGAGAGACAGACTTTGGCCCCGGTCACATGGGAGGATTTGCCCCGCAAGAGGGACGGATCAGGGGTGCATCAAGCGGGCGCGATCACACCGCAACATCTGTGAAGTGTCACGCACCCATCCCCAATCTGCCCCTTTGGCCCGAAAACACACATTTAAAAGGTACTAGCAACAGAGCACTACCTTCCGGATGATGCGTGGCAACTCCAGGCGTCTGGTCGGGGAAGCGCTGGTAGCCCGTCGCAGCCAGCGCCGTTCCCCGTCCCACGCATGCGCAGAACTGTGCTACTGCTGGTTTGCTGCACAACGTGTGATCGGCTGCCGGAGCACAGAGCCGTGGAGACATGTCGGATCACGCTCCCACGGTTCTTTTTGCTCCGGCTCTAATTTGCCTCCCTTCGGCAGCGGATCATCCCGCTCCTGTGACCTTTGTTTCTGTTTAGATTGCTACACTTGCATTCTTGTGCTACCAGAAAGTACTTGGTCCAGGCTTCGGCATTTTTGCAATTAGCC